GCCCGCTGACCCGCGGGCCGGGCCGCCGCCGAGACCCTACGTCCCCGGGAGGGGCGGGACGGGCGCGTCGAGCCCCGCGCCGGCCTCGGGGTCGGGACTCAGGAGGACCCCCACAGGACCGTGTCAGCCCGGTGAGCTTTCCCCCCGGGCCGCTTACAGTTCCTGACTTTGGGGGCTGCCGGGCATTTGGCGCACCCGGTGAAAGTTCCGTGCTCTCCTCGGGGCGGGGGAGGGGGGGAATGCACTTGCGCACAAACTTTTGCACGTCGTTCGGGGGGACTCAGGCCCTTTTGGAGCCCGACACCTACACAGCTCTCGAGGGTCGATGGGCCCCTGGGTTAGGAGCATGGATTTCCCTGGCGTCGGTATTGAGCCCGCCCCGCCCATCTCTCCCCAGTCCTAGTTGGTCCCATTATCAAGAGAGGCAGTGCTCCTATTTTATAAGTTACAAGAGGTCACTGTCCCATTTGGCCCCAGGGAAGAACATTTTCTGGCTTCTTCTATCCAGTTACCCAGCTCCATCTCTCACGGAATCTGAAATTTTGATTTGTTTTGGGAGGTGGGAAGAAAGTACCAGGGCGGTGGGGAAGCAGGTGCTCAGCTGGGTTGGGGGCGAGCGTACTGCTCTGACCCTGAGGGCTTCGATGCTTGGAGAGCAGAGATCTTTGCGTTTTATTTCAGATGCTCCCCACCCCCACCCACCCCCACCCCCTTACCTATCAGGGACCCACACAGAATCTGCCTAGAGAAAGTATCTTGTTTGGAGCCCGCCGGCTATTTTTAGACAGTATTTTTAGCATTTAAAAATACTCTGAGAAGCAGCAGCGTGTGCTGTTACTCATCTGTGGCCTCCTTCTGTTCCTCTTGGCATGCTCATCGCCACATGTACACGCGCCCTGCACACACGACTGCAGCCACATGGGGAATATGTCCAGGACACATGTATGGAGTGGGCATGAGGCAGGAGCGGCAGGGCATTCTACTTGCTGGTCAGTGGGGGCACTGGTGTGAGGATGGTGAGCTCCCCAGTCCGTCCTCACTCTGACCATTAAATCCCCGGCGCACTGCGCCAGGCTTTCCTCCCTGCTTCCCTCTTTCTAGGCACACCCTTTCTAGTGAGTCCCACAGTGTCTGCAGCAACGCCTGCATTTGGTTACACCACACTTCTGCCCCCAAGCACCTAGAGCACCTGACTCTTGTGTCCAGTCCAGAAGCTGAGGTAGCTCTGTCTGTGAGGCTCTCTGTCCACAGGCTCTTTTCATTGTCATCACCCTCGCTCTTCTCTGATCCCTGCTGCTAACCATCCTGCTCTTATTTCTCTGCTTCAGCACTTGCCTTCTCTCACTTAAAAGACGAAACTGCCACTGATTAAGTACTTACTAAATGCTAGGCACTGGCTAAGTGCTTTATATAGATTATCCCGGTTAACTTGCATAATTAACACAGTGATGTAGGAACTATTATCTCTATTTTCTAGATGAAGGACCTTAAGTCCTGAGAGGCCAAATGACTTGCCAGAACCACAAAGCTAATAAATGACAGTGTGGGGCTTTGAACCCCAACCTGTGTTACGGCAAAACCCGTGCTTTTAACGATTACCAGAAGATTCTGGAATGCTCTTCCTGCTCCCTGCCAATTACCTGCTTGTAAAGTCTGCTCAAAACTTGTGTTTTCCACCAAGCCCCTCTCTACAGAACTCCATCCAGCTCGAAACACCCCATTACTGCATACCCCCCTGTCTCCTGGCGTTCTGCCTTCACTGTGTTAATTTATCTTAATATGTTTATTTTTGTTTTATAAGTGTCTTTAAGGCTTCTGTAAATGGTTTTAGATCGTGTGTGGCTTATGCCATCACACTGAAAGCTCCTCAGGGGCAGGGCTGTGGGTTCTCTTAGTGGGTGCTTAAAAAATGGTGTTGATCTCATCTCTAAGTGGGGGCCAGACCCGGCTCTGGTTGGGTATCCTGGAAGTGCCACTGAGCCTCACAGGGTGGGGTGCGTCCGGATTTGTCCGTTGAATAAGAGTGCTGTGGTGAGCACTGTCTTAACAGCTGCTTGCCCACCGGAGCGTTTGGCCTCCTGCCCCATGACTTAGGCCAGCAATGTGAGTACTCCCACCCGAGGACATCCTGGCATTCTGCTAGCACGCTCACTCCCTCTTTCCTGGGAGGTAGAAGGTTAGGCGCATCCTAGGAGCAGGGAGGCCCCGATGAGGAAAGCTACCTGCAGGGGAGCTCTTTGAGAAGCCTGGGGTGAGGGGAAAGAATTCGTTTAGGGTCCGGTCTTGTCGAGCAGGTCTGACTGCTGTAGGACACAACCAGCAAGGCACTGTGGCTCATTTCTCAACTGGCCAAACCCCCATGACACCCCTTCTCCTCAGTGCCATTTCTTGAAGTGGGATGGGGAAAGGATGTAGTCTTCTGGGATCTGAATCTGGCTCAGGCTCCATGACTCTCTGCCCCAAATATGCTGAGCTGATCTGAACAGGACTCATTCCTACAGCCTGAGGCTGCCATTTCTCAGAATCTGTGCTTGGCCTGTCTTCCCTGTGGTTAAGAAATCTTCTTCACCTCAAATCCTTTTTGGCATGGATGGAGTATAAATAAATTAGAGTCTGAGTTAGCTCTGAGAGGGCAGGACTGAGAGCGTATCTGGCTTCCTCAGGTCTCAGTGGTGGCTTGGTTCAAGGGTTTTGGAAACACTGCTCAGACCCAGGCGAATGCTTCCCCGCAAAGCATGCACCTGTCATAACCCTCACAAGTGGATAGACTGGTGGCTTGATTGACTGATTGAACTGGTAGGGGCTCAGAGTCCTTGTTGGGGGTTGGGCTTTCAGGCCACAAGTGCCCCTGGGGACAGAGGACCCTCTGCTTCCCTGCATCAGTCCAACCCCAGGAGGCCAAAAGCTCTGTACTCTTTCGAGCCCTACGGCAGGCTGGCCTGAACCAGCTGGACTCCAGAGGCCCACACACTTCCCTCTCTCGCTTTTATTTCTGTGTGGATGCCAGTTTTACCTACCCATTGAGGTGAGAGGGTGCAGGGGGCCACGTGTGCCGCTCCGGGCCCTGAACATGATGTTCATTTCTGTAGCTGCTGGTCAGTGAAGCGGCTCCCCCACCACGGGCAGGGAACATTTTGCCAGGCTTGGATTAACTTCTGCATTGCTGAGCCCCACCCCAGCACCATGTTACCTCATGAAGACATCCTGGAGCGGGGGTGGAGGAGAAGGCAGGGAGGACGATGCTGGGCGCGGACTGAGAAACTGCACCCGGGTAAGGCAGCACTGGGGCCCCCAACCAGGTCACAGCGCATAGCCTATCTTCAAGGGATGGAGACCGTGGGTGCCTTGCTGACTCTAAACATAAGCCCAGACCGCCTGTCCTTTCTCAGCAGCTAGTACTGGCCCTGGCCAAGGGACCCTTTGGCTTAAGGTCTCCTCTGAGCGACCTTCCCATGCTGTCAACAGAGATTCAGGCCCTCAGGAAGTTCATCTTCCTCAGGGCGGCTGAGTAGGTGAGGGCATCCCCAGGGTCTTGGGCTGCTAAGCTGGACAAACAAGACAGCGGGGATGCACTTCAGCGTGGCTGAATAAACAGAGAAGGCAGGGGAGGAGGGAGGAAGGTCACACTTCTCCACTTCTCACCTGGGACCTCTAGAACAGTTCCTGCCGCCTTCAACTTGTTCTCTTTGGAGTAACCCCTGCTCACTGCAAGGCAGCAGTTAAGTTCAAAGTCCCACCCAAGAGTAAAATCACATGACCTCCGCTTATATAATCTCCCTGTCACTGAACAGCTGGGAACCCAAGGCTTCGGGAGATGAGTCAGCAGCCCCTTGGCAAATAGGACCCAGGTACTCTAGGTTCCCAGACCTTTTGCTCTTAGCAACAGGTTTCAGAGCAGAGGGCAAGGGTTTGGAAGAGGCCGTGTGGGGAGAATAGGCCGGCAGGCTCTGAGCCTCACTCCCTGGTTTTGCGTCTGAGCAGCAGGTTCTCGGCTTGATGACTGTGCTCTGGAGGGCCCTGGGCCAACCCCAGCGTTTCTTGGGGGAGAGCGGAGGGTGGCCTGGGCAGGGCAGGGCAGGGCCGGTGTGAGGGCAGGGCTGAGGCTGCAGGCAGAATGCCAGGGCTGGGGAGGGAGCAGTTGGAGGGGTGGAGCGCAGGAGGATTAAGATGGACTGTAGGGCTTAAAGCACAGCCCTGGCAGGGCTCAGTGGGAACAGCTTGTCCTTCCATAGGCCCAGGGAACAGGACAGGTGGGGCGGAGGGGGGCCATAACCAGGCTGGGTGCTTGGGCTCCTGGCTTTCCGCAGGGCCAACCCACCTGGCCTGGCTTGGAGTCCCAACAGGTGATGAATGGGGCGGGAAGTGAAAGCTATTTTTTTTTTTTTTTTGCCAGTTCTGAACTATCAGTCCCTCCCCTTCGATCTGTCTGCATTTTAAACAGAAGGTGGAGCCTGGGGCAGCCCTCATTATCCTAGGCTGAGCTGCACCCCCCCATAGACTGGTGTTTTGTTGGTGCTTATGCAAGCATGGGGGGGGTTCAGAATTCACGTCCCCCCTGTAACAGTCCTTTACTTACGCTCAGCTGAGTCTGTAATATTCTAAGTTCATGTTGGCTGTTGCTATAAATGAAGGGAATGAGCCTGGTTAGAACTGTTCTACTCCCTGTTTGGGGCCTGCTTTTGACTTTCCTTTGTGAATGTCAACTGTAGTTCAAGTCGGCTACCCAGAGAGCCCCTGGGGCCAGGGCCACCCCAGGGGACCCCAGAGGAGTCAGATCACGCTGGACCCTGCCACATGATACAAGGGTGGTCCCCTCCCCGCTCCACTCAGCTGCCCAATGCCCCTTTTCTGTCTTCTCCTTTTCTACCAACTCTTCCGTAGCATTTTATAGGTTTCAGATTCCTTCACGTCCACTGTTTGCTTTGAGCCTCATGACAGCCTGTGAGGTAGGCAGGGCAGGTACGACCCATCCCTTTTATGGATGAGGAAACAGCTCAGATGAGAGGTGTCTAAGGTTAAAGAGGCAACCTGTTCCTTTCAGCTTTAGGTGACCCCTCCCTTTCCCACCACCTGTGACACCTAACGACACCTGGGGCTGCCTCCTATCACAACTATTATAAGAACTTATTTC